GTAACTACTCACAAAGCATATTCATGTTCATAATCAGAGGAGTAATAATATGCATTAAGGATCTGAACATATGATCTTCCACCAAGTAAACCAATTAGCATCAACTACAAGGAGTAATCAACACTACTAGCAACCCACAGGTACCAATTTGTGGTTTTGATACAAGATTGGATACAAGAGATGAACTAGGGTTTTGAGAGGAGATGGTGCTGGTGAAGATGTTGATGGAGATTGAACCCTCCCGATAAGAGGATCGTTGGTGATGACGATGGTGATGATTTCCCCCTCCCGGAGGAAAGTTTCCCCGACAGAACAGCTCTGCAGGAGCCCTAGATTGGTTCTGCCAAGGTTCTGTCTCGTGGCGGTGGAGTTTCGTCTCGTAAGCTTGCCTCTGATTTTTTTTTCCAGGGTAAAAGCCTTCATATAGCAGAAGATGGGCACCGAAGGGCCACAAGGGGCCCAAGAGACAGGGGGCGCGCCTAGTAGGGGTGGGTGCGCCCCCCACCCTCCTGGCCAGGGTGTTGGCCCCCTCTGGTGTTTTCTTCGCTCAATAATTCTTATTAATTCCAAAACTGACTTCCGTGGAGTTTCAGGATTTTTGGAGCTGTGCAGAATAGGTTTCCAATATTTGCTCCTTTTCCAGCCAGAATTCCAGTTGCCGGCATTCCCCCTCTTCATGGTAAACCTTGTAAAATAAGAGAGAAGAGCCATAAGTATTGAGACATAGTGTGTAATAACAGCCCATAATGCAATAAATATTGATATAAAAGCATGATGCAAAATGGACGTATCATCCCTCTTCATGTAAACCTTGTAAAATAAGAGAGAAAAGGCATAAGTATTGTATCATATTGTGTAATAATAGCCCATAATGCAATAAATATCAATATAAAAGCATGATGCAAAATGGACGTATCAACTCCCGCAAACTTAGACCTCACTTGTCCTCAAGCGAAAGCCGAAATCGATAATCATGTCCACATGTTTAGAGATAGAGGTGTCGTTAAAAATAAAATATGGACATGAAGGCATCATGATCATCTTTAGAACAACAAAATATATTGGCATATAATTTCTTATGCGAAGGTGAAAATTCATTCACAACATAAAGTATGAATCCAGAACTCTATTGAGAACCAACAAACTATGATATCAGTCATTGAAGCAATTGCAATTTATCATAACATTGGAAAGAGTCAATATAAGAGCTTGTCTAGCAAATCCACATACTCAATCATCTTTTAGTCTTTCATAATTGCTAACACTCACGCGGTACTTATGAGATCAAAGCTTCAACCGGAGATAGAGAAAGATAGGGGCTTATAGTTTTGCCTCCCGATTATTTACCTCAAGGGTAATGTCAACAATAATAACTCATGATCACCTACATCTGAGTGGATATATGTGTCTAGATCTTTCCCCAACACATGACGCTTGCCAAGACAAAAAGGTGAAATGTAGGAAGTGGTGTAGATCACCATGACTCTTTCATAAAGGTGCATACTAAAAATTAAAAGATAGGCCCTTCGCAGAGGGGGGAAGAGGTTATCATGCGCTTTTCGGTTGGATGCACAAAAATCTTAATGCAAAGGAACGTCACTTTATATTGCCCCTTGTGATAAATAACTTTCTTATGCAGTCCGTCGCTTTTATTTCTTCCGTATCACAAGTTCGTATAAAGCTTATTTTCCTCACACTAATAGATCATACATATTTAAGGAGCAATTTTTATTGCTTGCACCGATGACAACTTACTTGAAGGATCTTACTCAATCCATGGGTAGGTATATTGAAGTCTCATGGCAAAACTGGGTTAAAGGTGTTTGGGTGCACAAGTAGTATCTCTACTTGGTGCTCAAGTTTTGGCTAGTGTGAGGTGGAAGAAAACGTCACATGTTGGAGGATCCATGGCAATATAACTTCTATTCGGAAATAAGCAAACATAACTCATTATATTGTCTTCCTTGTCCAACATCAACTTCTTAGCATATAATATTTTAATGAGTGCTCACAATCATAAAAGATGTCCAAGATAATACATTTATATGTGAACCTCTCTTTAACAGATTGTTTAAATAGGTTATTTAGGTGGGGTGGGACCCAAAGGTCAGTGAGACATTTTAGTTAATTAATTTTAGTTTGACCCAAACTCCTAATTAGTGCATGGGGGTCCCATAGTCAGTGTGCTAGGGGTGGGTTATCTGCTAACTAAATGGCAGGCCCCAGCAGGGGATTTTGCACGCGCGCTTGGGCAGAGGGGTGCCGGCCACGGCGGCACTTGGCTGGCTGGCAGCGGCGGCAGTGGTCGTAGGCCACGGTGGCGCAGCGCCCGCAGCGGTAGCCGTCGCAGTAGAGCAGCACGAGGGGGAGCACGGGGCCAACAGCGGCAGTGTAGACCGTCGTGATCGGTGTAGGGAGGCAGCGCATGACGAGGATGACTCGGGCACGGGGAGCTCGGCGCAGAGGGCGCGCGGGGCACGGTGAGCGCATGCTCACCGCGGGTGCGCTTGTGGGGTCGTCTAGCGTGCGGTGACCGCGAGCGAGGCATGAGGCAGAGAAGGGGAGAGGCCCAGGGCCTCACCAGCGTTGATGGGGAGAGGGGGCGCCGAGGCTTGCTGGCGGCCGGCAGGGAAGAGGCCGAGGATGCGAGGTCCGGCGAGGGGGTCGAGGTGGCGTCCAACGCGGGGCAGGGCGTGGCGACGCCGGCGAAGACGGTGGGGCGGCTCCGGCGAGGTGGCGTTCCGGCGACGGCGGGGTCGAGGCAGAGGAGCTTCGGTGAGGTTGCCCCGATGAACGGCGACGGCGGGAAGGTCCTCCAAGCGGTGGTGATGCGGCGCCGGCGTCGAGCAGGTCGGGCGGCGGGGACCGACGTCGAGCCCCGATCCAGATCTGGATCGGGGGGAGGGGAACGAACGAGTGGGGGGGAGTGGTGGTCGTGGGGCTAGGGTTCGGTGCCCCCAGGTGGTATAGGCCAGGGGCTGGGCCGGCCGGTTGCTGGCCTGGTGGCCAGCTGGGTTACAGCCCAGCAGGGGGGTCTTTTTATGTCTTTTGGTTTTTGTTTATTTGTGTGTTTTTTCTTTTTACTTATTTTCCTTTTCTGTTTTACCTTAGTTTTTGATTTAGTATAGTCTTATAAAATACTTTATTTAACTCCTAAATTAGTGTCATGGTCTAGCCCTCTGCCACAAAAAGGTTGGGGCCCCAAATAAAATAGTTTAACAATTTAATATTTACAAAAGGCACTAATTTAATTGTTATAACCAATGTTTTAGTTATTCTGGAGCATTTGCATATTTTATACAAATGTGGCTTCATCACCATAATTACTTATGCATTATATGTCACCTCTCGAACATTTTAGTTTTAATGTTTGAAAAACTTTTGATGTTTGCCTTTACTTCAAATTTGAATTTGAATCGGTTCTCAACTAACGCGAGATTAGCAATAAGGATCATGGTGACGTGGCATCATTAGCAGGGTATTACTGTAGCTTAGTTATCCAGGCGTCACAGGGCTGGTAGCGCGCATTAACAGGTTGAAATGATACAAAACACTACAATTATACAAATCCTAAATCATTGAATGATCCAACCGAGACTTCGTGAAGTCTCCGTCGGCTGGGATTTAGCCAAAAGAAAAAAGATAAATTATCAAAACAATATAAAAAAAGAATACTATTTCTAGAAAATAAAAGATACAAAAGCACAAAAATACATGAGAAAATGAAAAATAGGAAGGAAAAACAAACATATAGAATAGAGTAATTTTTTTAAGAAACTAGATAAGAGTAAATAGAAATTGTAGAACAAATAAAAATAAAAATGGCAGCCCAACAAAAAAGAAAAGACCGACTAACAAGGGAAAGACCAACAAGCCCCTGGCTAGACCCCCGTAACGTGAACCCCAGCCACGACAAAAAAACAGCGAATCAACCTGTGTGTGGTTGGATGGTTAGAAAGACTGTGGTATCCCCAGCCCATCAGAAATATGGTAAAAAGATAGGAAAATTCTTGATTATTCAACGTCGGATCGAAACAGTTGGAATTTTATCTATCCTTCTATTTTTTAAGATAATTCAGATTTGTTGGCAAAAAAAGCGAAGAAATAGGTTTGTCATTCCATTACAATATCATCAAGAACAAGAGAAAGAACTAATATCCTATTTTGGGACTTCGATTAAAATCTCGACGCTCTGTTCGACGACGAGGTGCCTACGGTGACTTCATAAATTTCAAGATGATAGCCGGCTCAGTCTTTCGAAGGTGCTCATACGGATATGGGATGCATGTGTGCGTTTATAGAGGTGAGTGTATCCACATGTATATGAGGGTTTGCGTCTACTGTGTTAAAAAAAAGCCACGATAGAAAAAACAAATGCAAACGAGCCCATCCCCAGGCGTTGTGGGCTGTTCACACGAAACGTAAAAGTGCACATATCTTATAGCAGCAAAGAAATCTAATGGCCAGCGCAGTCGACTGGGAGACTTGACAGACTGAGTTTTAGCTTGCCTGTTTCAATAAAGCTAGCTATCAAGGCCTTTCCAACAACAAAAAACCACTGGATGAATTGTACAGAAGAAAAAAAATCAGTAGAAATAACTCAACCTGACGCACACTATTAGGGAGTGTACCAGATTCCGTTCAAGAAAAATCAAAACAACAAGCAAAATCAAAGCAAATCAGCAAACCAACGCAAGCAACCACAAAACAAAACATGTAGTACGAAATACCCACATTTACCATGTACTCCCTCGGTCCGAAAATACTTGTCGCATAAATGGATAAAGATGGGTGTATCTAGAACTAAAATATGTCTAGCCATTTCGCTGACAAGTATTTCACCACGGAGGGAGTATTCAAAAGGGTTTCTGTCATGAACAATTCAGAGCTCAGCACACAACAAGTCCATCTATAGAGAATTCCAAGATGCGCACCAGAGGGTGGCCTCCTCCTAGTGGAGGCGCACAGTATCTAAGGAATTGCATAATCTGAGCAGTAATTCACCGCAGGGGCTGCTGATTATAGTGGTTCTTGTCTTTCTTCTTCGCTGCCACAAGCTTTGCTCTCCTAGCGGCCGCCTCAGATGCTGCAATCTTTGCTACTGCGTCCATCTCTTTGCTCGATTTCTTTTTCTTCATTGATGCTACTTTCTTTATGCGCTCCTTGACATCCACTGAAGCAACATCTTCATCAGGTTCTACACCAGCAGCATTGTCGACCACATTGTTCTGATCCAGTGTTTCTTCTGCCTCCTTTGAAGACTTGTCTTTCTTAGCTTTCTTCTTCTTGGAGGTCTTACTCTCCAGAGGAGCGGATGCATCTTCCTTTTTCCCTGCTTCAGCAGCCTGGCCCATACCTTCCTTGTCTGCAAAATATGCTCAACATGTGAACACAATGCTTAATAAACCTTCAGAATCACCGTCTTCAGGCCTTACAAAAGAAGTCACAAAATATTAACAGCATAACAGTTACCAATATAAAAACATATCTAGGTATGCTCAATTTTCACAGAATGTTTCTTCTGGAAAAATTTAATGGCAAGAAGAAGATATTTTTACTTACCATTTGTTTCATCTTGAGTAGCATTACTTGATTCATATGAAATTCCCAACTCAGCCAATACAGCATCAAGCTCTTCCAACTCCTTTTTCTTTAACTCCTTCTTGGAGAGCTGTCTTTCGGTATCTTTAGGAGGTACTAGTGGAGCTACAGCTTTCTGAACTGCCGGCTCAGAAGGGACAGCATCTCCTGCTTCATGTTCATCCTCAGCAGCAGCATCAACCTCATCATCAAGGCTATCATCTTCACTCTCAATTTCCTGCAGTATACAATTGGCATATGGAGAGTTAACACTTAACACTACAAAATATAAAGGGCACATACTATATTGTACTTCAGAGCAGTAGATGTTTTGTGTGATCCCATTCAATTTGACCTGAAATCTAAAAAAATTCTCGAATGTAGGAGCAGCACTCCCAATTTCACTCATCATGAAACCTAGAATCTAAAGCTAACACCGCAAGATATGGAGGAAGCTAAATAAAACAGATCAATTGAAGTACTTTTTCTGTTTTCAGGTAGTTGGAATTGCTCACAAATCACAATAACATGACCTTGAATTCAGATTTTTCCGGAGGTACAGCCCAGTAAAGTCGCTTCTTCTGATACTAAGAGTATTCTACAAGTCAACATGTACAAAATAGACTTACTAAGTAATAACCCCATAGAATCACTGTATCCATATAAAGATAAAGAGGAATATCTTATACAACAAAAATCCAGTTCTGTAGAACTTATTAAAACTTAAATAAAGATGCAGGATGCCGTCCACAGCACAAGTCAACATCATGTACGAATGATCCCATGTCACAATTGAGTCAGGCAGAGCAGGGAATTTGCCAAGCCCCGGACCGGGTACTGGGCCATTGTGGGCTACGATGAAATATATCCTTGATTAGACTCACGGTAAAAAAAAACTGGGCTTAAATTCCTAGAATTGCCTCTGCCCAGTGCATATCTCGCCTAAGCACACTTTAAGCTTAAGGTCAGGCATTCTGCTAACACCTAGCGCCTAGGCACAAGCTTAAGCACACACCTAGCAGCCCTTCCCTTTTTTTATCATTGGTTGGACCCAAAACCAGAAGCAAATGCTAAAGGAAAAAAAATAAGCCATGGCTGCCGGCATTGTTTCCCGACCATGAGTGACAATTGCTTACAGTTTCTTTTTCACCCTGTTTCCTTTAATTCAAAGGAAGGCAGAACACCAGCTAGATTTCTGGAGTAAATAAAATGAGAATAAGTAAGACCAAATCTGGAAAGAAAACAAATGTATCATTTTGAGCTAGAACCTAGGAATAACTATGGCCAGACACCCCTTATCAATCAAAAAATCACACATGCCCAAAAACGCTTCTATGGCACATACCCAAACAGGCAAGTGGTAGTAATGCCACCATCCAAATATATATGTAGATTCCACCTGATTACAGAAGGACTCTGACATCAGTATTATTTGATATGGGTCATTTAGTAGTTCAATTATACAACCTAGTTGTTTCCCACTTAATTATTTGCAGTATTGTTTGTCTGATTCCATATGAAGAGTATGCTGAAGGCATACACCGAATGTAGGCACGTGATTCCGTGCTAATTATGCCAGGTAAATCCTCACACATCCAAATCTATCTTTAACTTCAACCTGATTGCCCAAAGACTGTTAGCCTAACATAAATATTCTTTGAAATATGCCACTAGTAAGTTGTACTCAGTTCTCTTATTGCAGTCAGGACATATGTTTTTTTTAACTTAATTATTTGCATTATTGTTCTTCCCGATTCAATACAGGCTAGGCCAGCAAGCATTATACTATCGGTGCCACCAATATCAAGTACGCCATAAATAAACTAATTCTAGTTACATATCGCCATATCCTCACACGTCAAATACCCGTGCAATAACATTACCTAAATTGGCAACCTCGTGAACAGCAAATTTAAGCCTTCATAAATAGAGCGTGCCAACGATCTCAAAACATTCCGGTAACGGAAAAAATGGTCAAATCACATTTCATGCAACGATAAATTGTCCATAGCAGTCAACCGTCCTACCCGCGAATGCAGTGCGTGACGCCGCAGAGCTTATTGATGCCCCGAAGACGACAGACAAAAATTGGCTCATGGTGTGAATTTCTATCCTGGAGACCCCAATACCACTTGTTCCCACGGCATTACATCATGCCATGCATACAGAACACAAATAAACCGGCACATGAAGAGAGTATCGCAATGTTGAGGTGTCGCTGAATCGTCGTAGTCCAGAGACATCACATATGCAAACAACTAAACATGCATATAAAGAATACTAGTAAGATACCCGTGCATTTCACGGAACACCAAGATTGGGGGTGAACGGCGCTGGCAGCGGTCATTACACCAGATTGTTCCATGACCTTCTGGATGTTTTAGGAAGAGATAAGGCTGATTGTGAGAGGCAAGGAATGGTTTGTAAATATGAAAACAAGTGCGTGCATCTTTTTGCAAAACTGCAGCAGTTTGCTTTGTATGCGTCAGATCCAGATCCGGCGGCTATTGGTGATAGATGGCAGGCACACCATCATCACCAACTCCAACTTAGGTCCAACTTAGGTTTGGTCTTTATAGGAGCAGAGATAAAGAAGGGGACGCAAGCAAGCAGTGGGAGAAGCGAGGTGGACCTGTTCAAGGGCAGAGTGCTCCTTGTCGTCCTCGTGGCCGGCATCAGCGTCGTCCCCCTGGGCCTCCCGCACGGGGCACAGCGGGGCGGTGGTGGCGAAGTAGTCGTCATCGTCATCGTCCTCAACGTCGGCCCAGGACTTGGCAGTGAGCGGCGCGGGCGCCGAGAACACCTCCGGCTTTTCCACCACCGGCGCCTGCTTCTTCTCGGCTGCCGCCGGCTTCTTCTTCTTGAGCGTCTCGAGCGCCGCGAACACGTTGCCGCTGCCGATCCTCAGCTCCTCGGCGCCGGCCCCTCTCCTGTTCCCTCCCCCGGCCATCTCTCCGTCAGCCACAACAACAACCGCAACCGCTGCCGATCTGGTCTTGCCTGGGGTTCTCTTAACTCCCCGATCTGCGGCAAGGCGGGGCACGCGGCCACGCTTGCTTGCTCCGGATCGGGGAGAATCGGGCGCGAGGAACCAAGGAGACACACCAACGGGCAGAGCTTCCGCGGGGTTGCTTGTTGGAGGCCGGATTGGAATTTGCGCGATTTGGGTTCCGTCGTCTGTTGGGTTAGCAGTGGAGAAGACGAAGAGGGCGGCGGCGGCGGCGTGCGTGCTACTCTACGCCTCTCGCTGCGTTTCGCTTTCGCCACGGCAGATGGTAGTACAACTCGGATCGTATCATACTCTTATCTGGAGTTGAACGGGAACCTTGGTCTTGCAGCCGACACGTGCCCTTCCTTCGGGCACGGTTTCTATCCGTCGGAAGGCCATGGTGGAGATCTGAGCCGTCGGAGCTGTCGAGAGATATTAAGTTCACCAGGAGGCATCATCAACCTCTATAACTAGATTGGTATCACGCCTTGGCGCGGGGTGCCGGTCCCAACGATATTCTCAAACAGATAATAATCAAGTTTGTAGGAAGCATGGTTCAGCTTATATATTCAGATTTTTTAGTTCAAAAGAAAGAACAAACATTTACATGTACAACATGAGGGGGCGAGTACTCAGAGCAGGAAAATAAAAAGAAAGCAAAAGCCAAACAGAGTGGCGATAGAGATGGTAAAACATGGTACTACGGGTTCTTCATGTGGAATGTGACCACTTTGTCAAAGAACTATCATAACAGAGCCTCTCAACGACATGATCAAACATTAGTTTCTTTGCGCGTTTCTATAACAAAATGCAATCAACATGAATATTATTTCATAAAACTAAATGGGCACTTCTCCAACACATGTTCTGCATATTCTCAATTCTGATAAAGCCAAGTATAAACCTGAACTTATGGAAATAATATCAGTTTAAAAACATCCAGGAATGTAAGTTAACTAAAACGAATGTCAGTTTAGCTCAATGCTACAAATTGTAGAATTCACAAAAAAAAAAGCACAAAAAGATATCTAATGCAGCAATTTGCTGAGCCAAAACATTTTGAGCCAGATAAAATAACTCCAAATTTTGTTTCTGTGACCTAGAACCCGAATATGTCAATGACCTGGACTGCAAGTTATGTGACGAACCGGCCGGAAACATTATCAAGCTCCATGATGCCGGCAACCTGCAAGCCAAAACGATGGATGTAGC